TGGCACACCGTCATCACCATTGATACCTGGCACGTCCCCTGGCGCCTCCCCTGGGCACGTCGCGCGGCACGTCCCCAGGCACGTCCCCTGGCACGTCCCCTGGCACGTCCGCTGGCACGTTCGCTGGCGCGTCCCCCTGGCGCGTTCCCCTGGCACGTCCCGTGGCGCGTCCCCTTGGCACATCGCGCGGCGCATTGGCACGTCCCCTGGTGCGTCCACTGGCACGTTCACTGGCGTGTCCCCTGGCAGGTCACTGCGCGGCACGGCAATGCGCAGAGAAGCACAACACAGCCCCTGGCACAGCAGCATCACCATTGATACCTGGCACGTTCCCTGGCGCCTCCCCTGGGCACGTCGCGCGGCGCGTCCCCTGGCACGGCTGTGGCATGTCCCCTGGCACTTCCGCTGGCACGTTCGCTGGCGCGTCCCCTTGGGGAGTCCCGTGGCGCGCCCCCTGGCACATCGCGCGGCACGTTGGCACATCCCATGGCACGTCTATTGGCACGTTCGGTGGCGTGTCCCTTGGCATGTCACGGTGTGGCGCGACAAAGCGCAGAGCAGTACAACACAGCCCCGGGCACAGCATCATCATGGGTCATCGGGCACAGCATCATCACCACTGATATCTTCAGCACTGCCACTGCCCATCGTCCAACTGAGGTGCTTGGACATGTTTCCCTTCCTCGCAGGTCTAAATCCTTTTCCAGGTTCGTGGGTCGATCATGCTCATCATGCTCTGGAATGTCTACCAAACGGGCCTCTCGAGCCGCATGTCGAAGTCACCCGAACGCCCTTACGCGCGTGCTGGGGGGGGGCACGATTCGTTTCAAATAATACCACGCGGGCCACTCGCGCGCGTCGGCCGCGCGCGCATGTCAAACTCTTCCAAAACGTGCATCACCGACGCGAGGACATCGTCATCGTTATCGGCGGGCGTGATCAACATCGCCGCGGTCAATGGCCTTGTCGTCGTCATCACCAACATCGTCACCATCATCGTTACCCTAATTATCGCGTCTACCGTTGTCGGCGTCGCCATGATACCGCGCCCGCCCACGTCACCGACTCTCATTGAAGTGCCCGCTGGGAAGTGCCCAGGGGCCAGCGCCACCCCGGCCGCGCCGGTCGCGCCGCACTAGCTGGCCACTGCGCGCGCGAGCATGCGCGGGCTAGCGCGGCCGCAGAGATGCACCAGCCAAAGACAAGCACTCATCGCAATTGCCGTCGCATGGGTTTTGCATACCTAGTTGCGGGTGGGTGAGTGGGATGGTTGCGCGAGCAATGGAGGTGACAATTCATTGCGAGCATCGGTTATACCACCCTCCTCCCCGCCGGGTTTAAAGATCCCCCGGGAACCGATGCAAAACACATAGGATTCGGCCCCATCGTCCATCCTAATCATGAATTTACACTATCCCAGGGGGGGCGGTATCGGCCCCCCCCCGCCATCCCCTGCAACAAATCGTATGCGTGCACACTCGTTTATAACAAATCATAAGTTTCCAAGAACCCCTTACAACAAACGAAAACGAAATGCACACGCGCGCGTCGTCGCGCGCGCAGCCGAAATCTTTCACAAACTCTCAGTTCCTCAAGGCCTTCAAAATCGAATTTCCAGAACACATACATAAACACAGGGTTTTGCAACAATGCTTTTATAAAACAGCTTACACGCGCGCTCTTGCGAAATCTCAAGAAAACCATAGGTTCCCAACCAAAAATTACCAAACGGGCTTCGCGCGTGTGCATTTCGAAGTCGTTCGAACGCCCTTGCGCGCGTGCCGTCGCGAGAATTCGCTGCAAAAGCTAAGACGAAATGCACGCGCGCGTCGTCGCGCGCGCATGCCGACATCCTTCAAAAACTGTCGGTTTCCGGAAAGATTTCAGAATCGAGAGTCAAAAAACAGATTAAACACATGTGGTATCGCAACACGGATTTTCAACAAAAAAAATGCGCGAGCCTTCTTGCGTCGTCGACGTCGTCGTCGTCGTCGTCGCCGTCTTCCCTCCTCCCTCGTCGTCGTCGGCGTCGCCGTCGTCGTCCTTTGTCGTTCCTCGTCGTCGTCGTCGTGCTCTTTGGCGTCGTCGTCGTTTCCGTCGTCGTTGTCGCCGTGGTCGTCCTTCCTCCTCCCTCGTCGTCGTCGTCGTCCGTCGTCGACGTCTCGTCGTCGTCCCTCCTGCTTCGTCGCCGTCGTCGTCGTCGTCGTCGTTTTCCCTCTTCTCTCGTCGTTGTCGTCGTCGGCATCGCCGCCCTCCCTCCTTCTTCGTCGTTCGCGTCGTCGCCGTCCTCCCGCCTCCCTCGTCTTTGTCGTCGTTCTCGACGTCGTCGTCCTCCCTCCTCCCTCGTCGTCGTCGTCTTCGTTGGCGACGCCGTCGTCGTTGTCATCTTCGTCGTCGTCGTCGTTGGCGGCGTCGTCGCCGTCGTCGTCCTCGTCGTCGGCGTCGTCGTCGCCGTCGTCGTCGTCGTCGGCGTATTCATCGTCGTCGTCGGCGTCGGCGTCGTCGTCGTTGTCGTCGTAGGTGTCGCCGTCGTCGTCGTCGTGGTCGTTGTCGTCGTCGTCGAAGTCGTCGGCGACGTCGTCGGTGTCGTCGTAGTCGTCGTAGTCGTCGGCGTCGTCGTCGTCGTTGTCGCTGTCGTCGTCGGCGTCGCTGTCGTTGCCGAGTGCCATTTGGTACCCACCGTCACGGTCTTCAGAAGTCTTGCGATGAAGTTGCGGGTGGGAGGGTGGGAGGGTGGGATGCTTGCAAGAGCAGTGGAGAGGACAGCTTCAAGACAGTCAAAGTGAATTGCACACATAGGTTGCACCGCAACGATGTCACAACACAGGTTGCTAGAAGCAGATTGTTTGGGGGCCACGCTGGATAGCGCACACACACACACCGTAGATGTAAACATATGTGTATATATGCGTGTGTACATGTGTCTATATATAACATAGTGTACATATATATATATATACATGTCAGCACAAAATTGGATGTACACACGTACGTCCGTAAGGGTATCGCCTTCTGCTGACGTCCCCCTCTCTATCACCAGGGGAGATATCAGAACTATTCTGGGCCGTGCCGTTGCTGTCTTGAAGACTTGTATCATACGAGGGCGATTGGCAGTCGGCAAACATTTTGCAAAGTTGCTGTAATGTACTTGGGATCGTAGCTTCGGGAGCGCGAGTCTGGCATAACTTACGGAGGATCGTGTCCTCGGAGGCGAACGGAGTCTGGCCTCGGGCGCGAAACTGGTGCAGTTGACCATGGATCTTGGCCGCGGGATCGCGAATCGAATGCAATGTGGACGGGGCTCTGGGATTCGTGAGCGCGGCTTCGGGAGCGCGAACTTGCAGCAACTTACATGGATTCCGGCCTCGGGAGCGCGAGACAGGTACAAAATTCGACGGATTCTGGCATCACGAGCGCGAATATGGTATAATGAATAACGGGTTCTTGTTTCGGGAGCGCGAGCCCGCAATAGATGGAAAATCTGGCCGCGGGGGGCGCAAATCTGGCGAAATGTAGACAGGATTCTCGTTTCGGGAGCGCGCGAGTCTGAAGCAATGTTAAAGGAATTCGGCCCCGAGGACACGAATCTCACGTCCAATTGCGCTACAGCTCGATTCCGCCACCGCGCTGAGGCGGGCGGGGGGTGGGAAGGGGGACTAGAGGGTTTTCGGAACCCATCTTCAGGTCTTGGGTTTGGAACCAGTTTCTGCCAGGAAGGCCAAAAAGCGCAGGGACCTGGCCACACAAATGAACGCATCTTCGCAAGAAGCGAGCGGAGCGAAAAGCGAGGGCCCGACCGACGCACACCACCCACGAGGCCCTGCTTTGCCAGCTCGGTGTTTGGCGAACGCTGAAAAGGAAATGCTGCCTTTGCCGACGTTGTTCGCTGAGCGAGCATGGAGCCTCTGGAGAGCCTTTGGGGAGCCTGTCTGGGCCTCGTGGGGGCTTTTCTGAAGCCCTCGTGGGGCCTCTGGAGAGCCTCTTGGTCGCCTGGCAGGGCCTCGCGAGGGCCTCTTCGGAGGCTTCGTAGAGCCTCTGAGAGCCTTTTGCGGGCCCCTGCGGGCCTGTGAGGCCTTCTTGGTGGCTTCTTGGTGCTTCTGGGAGCTTCTTGGGGGCTTTGTAGGGCCTGTTGGGACCTTCTTGGGGGCCTCGCGGGGGCTTGTTGGTGACCTTTTGGGGGCCATGTTTGGACGTCGTGAGGATATCCAAGGCCGTCTTGGATTTATGGCCCTGGGGTCAGGAATCTCAAGCACTTGTACGTGTCCCAGGGCCACGGGGAACATAAGAACCCTGGGGGGAGGGCGAACGATTCCTTCTCGGCTCCTCCCCCCGCGCGCACCTGTGACAGTCTGCAGTAGGACGCAGGAGGTACATCTAGAACTGCAGACTGGAACTGCGACTGGGGCCGAGGAGCTCAGGATTGGTACAGACGTCGCTGACACCATCCTCGCAGCCTGGCGGCCCCACGAGGGGGCCAGCGGATATTCAGAATAGGCCGACCAGTACCGATATATATATATATATATACACACCTATATATACAGATATATATACATACATACATATATATATGTATGTCTACATACACATACATACAGGGAGGAGGGAGAGAGGAGACAGAGAGAGGAGGAGGAGGAGGAGGAGGAGGAGGAGGAGGAGGACGTGGATGATGGAAAGGACGAGTAGGAGGGGGGCCGGATGGAGTAAGGCTAGTCCTCGACCATACGCAACGGGGGTTGATTGGGCAAGTGGTCTGGACAGGCAGCTATATTCTGGCGTATCCTGATTGCTGCCCCCCCCCCTCACAGGGAGGTTCGGTAGTCATTCGTCTGCCAACGTGGAAGCAAGAGGGGCGATGGTTGGGATATCGCGGCAGCAGTAATAGCAGTGGACAGGGCGCAAGCACGAAGGATGCACAACATGCATGACCTAGATCCTAACGACTTGTTCTGCACCGCACATGTGAAGATGCCAGTCAAGCATGGAGAAAACCCGGCCAGGTGAACTGAGCACCCAGTGCGTCGCCAGCGGACCCGATTGCGGTTCACAGGCAAGAAGCGGCGTCTGCGAGTGAGGTGATCTTTTGCAGAGCGAACCGCTTCCGTGACTGTACAAAACCTCGGGGGCTCCGCTGTCTGCCGCCGCCCATCTCCCTACTGTGCCAGCGGACGCCCCTCGGGGGGGCAGGCGGAGCGGCGCCCACACGCAGATCCAAGCGAGGCCTCGCCCCCGCAGGTGCGGTCCAACGACCGTCGCCCGCGTCTCTGGAGAGTCCGGCGGAGCGGCCCCACACGCAGGTCCAGACGAGAGTTGGAGCCCGAGGCGCTGCCAAACGCGCACACTTACGCAGATCCGCGTGAGACCTCGCGCCGCCTCGGGTGCTGCGCACCTGCAGGGTCCAGCAGAGCGACGTCCTGTTCAAGGTCCACCCGTGGTCCTCCCGAGCGTCTCCAGTACGTTGGGTACGCCCCTGGATGATGTTGTGCCGTTCGGTGTCGCTTCGTTAGGACACCCCGACGATGGCTTTCCTCACGGCACGGTGGCCCTCGGAGGAGGACCGGCCGATTACCACTGTCAGCCGAAGGCAGGCGGTCTCCGGCATTCGATTTCGCGTGGGGCGGGCCGCTTCGCCCGCTCTGCCACCAGACCAGGGTGCGAAGCACCGCCCAGCTCGCCCTCACAGCGGCCGCAGAATTCAAGCCGCCGCCGTGCACCCCGCGGCCACTGTGCCGACGGCCGGGCCGTGCGAGCACAGCAGCGGCGCGCCGCGCGGCGGCGGCGGCGCGGGCGGCGCCGCAGCCGCTCCGAGGCACGGAGGCCCCTATAGGGGGGGCCCCGTGGGGCCGGCCGTGCAGCTGCCGATCGAGCGCACAGTCCTCGTCCTCCGTCCTCTCGTCCTCTCCTCCTCCTCCTCCTCCTCCCTCCTCCTCCTCCCTCCTCCTCCCTCCTCCCCTCCTCCTCCCTCCTCCGGGGGGGGGGGGGGCGTCTTGCTGGGCCCCCGCGCAGGCCGGGGCGGCGCCTCGGCGCTCCCGGGGGAGGGGGGGGGGAGCTCCGCGGAGCCCGCCCTTCGGGGGGGGGGGGTTGCCTGGCCGGCGGCGCGCGCCCGAAGGGGGGCCGGGGCGGCGTGCGGCCTCCCGAGGGGGCCGGTCGGCGTGCGGCCTCAGGGGCCCCTCGCGCGCCCTCGCCGGAGTCCTGGACCCAGACATCGGGCGTCTCGAAAAAATCGAGACAGAGGTTTTTCATAGTTTTTGGTCTTTCGGGGCCCTCGCCGGGCCTCGGGACCGTCAAAAAACGACTCGGGATGAGAAACCGTCCCAGGGAAGTGGTCGGGAGGTCGGGGGCCCGCGTCTCGAAAAAATCGAGACGTCGGATGTCTGGAATCGCTAGGGGGGAACAAGCAGTGGCATGGCATAATAAAAACTCGGAGGTCCGCCCGGATTTCTCGGATCGGCGCCGGAGGCGCGCCGGGGGGCCCCAGCGCCGATCCGAGAAATCCGCGCGGACCTTCGTCCCCTTTCTATGTTTATGTCACTTTTTGTTTCCCTGGGGAGGGGGGCCGGCGGCGGCCCCCTCCCCGATGCTCGCGCGAGCATGGGCCCAGAATACGTCTGCGCATGCGAAGATTTACGAGGGGAAAAATTATAGCCGGAGTGCAGTATCCCCAAACAGGGTTTTTATACCCACTGCGGTTTCAAAGGTCGATCGCGTGCCCGTCCAGTGCGGGCTGGCATGGCATGTTAAAACATGCCTCCTCCTCCTCCTCCTCCTCCTCCTCCTCCTCCTCCTCCTCATCCTCCTCCTCCTCCTCCACCTCCTCTTCATCCCGAACGGCATCTCGGAGCCCAGAGTTGCGAGGATGTCTCCAGCGTAACGGGCTGGACCACCTCGCGCGCGGCATTTCGGACCCCAGAATTGCGACGATGTCTCGGGCGAAACGTGCTGCGAGGAAGTCTCAGGCGAAACGGGCCGGACCACCTCGAGCGCGGCGTCTCAGAGCTCCGAGTTGCGGGGGCCTCCTGGTGCCTCCTGGGGCCTCCTGGGGACCTCCTGGGGCTTCCTCCTGGGCCTCCTGTGGCCTCCTGAACTCCACCTGGGGTTTCCTGAAGCGTCTTGGGGCTCCCAGGGGGGATATCTAACCTGTGGCCGCTTGGGCCCCTCAAAATACAGGGGGGGCCACAAGAGCAGGAAAAATCAACGAATCGACACCGGATGTGAATTAACTTGACACGTTCTGATAGGGGGCCTCCTGGGGCCTCCTGGGAGCCTCCTGGGAATCTCCTGCGGACCCCTTGGGGCCTGTCCTGGGCGTCCTGCGGCCTCCTGAAGCTCTCTGGGGCCTCCCCCTCCTCCTGCCTGCTCCCTCATGCACATCATCCGCCTCCTCCTTCTCCCTTCCATCTCCTCCTCCTCCTCCTCCTCCTCCTCCTCCTCCTCCTCCTCCACCTCCTCTTCATCCCGAACGGCATCTCGGAGCCTAGAGTTGCGAGGATGTCTCCAGCGTAACGGGCTGGACCACCTCGCGCGCGGCATCTCGGACCCCAGAGTTGCGACGATGTCTCTGGCGAAACGTGGTGCGAGGAAGTCTCAGGCGAAACGGGCCGGACCACCTCGAGCGCGGCGTCTCAGAGCTCTGAGTTGCGGGGGCCTCCTGGTGCCTTCTGGGGCCTCCTGGGGACCTCCTGGAGCTTCCTCCTGGGCCTCCTGTGGCCTCGTGAACTCCACCTGGGGTTTCCTGAAGCCTCTTGGGGCTCCCAGGGGGGATATCTAACCTGTGGCCGTTTGGGCCTCTCCAAATGGAGGGGGGGGGCACAAGAGCAGGAAAAATCAACGAATCGACACCGGATGTGTATTAACTTGACACGTTCTGATAAGGCGGCCTCCTGGGGCCTCCTGGGAGCCTCCTGGGAATCTCCTGGAGACCCCTGGGGCCTGTCCTGGGCGTCCTGCGGCCTCCTGGTGCCTGCTGGGGCCTCCTGGGGACCTCCTGGAGCTTCCTCCTGGGCCTCCTGTGGCCTCCTGAACTCCACCTGAGGTTTCCTGAAGCATCTTGGGGCTCCCAGGGGGGATATCTAACCTGTGGCCGCTTGGGCCCCTCAAAATGGAGGGGGGGGGCACAAGAGCAGGAAAAATCAACGAATCGACACCGGATGTGTATTAACTTGACACGTTCTGATAGAGGGCCTCCTGGGGCCTCCTGGGAGCCTCCTGGGAATCTCCTGGGGGCCCCTGGGGCCTGTCCTGGGCGTCCTGCGGCCTCCTGGACCTCTCTGGGGCCTCCTGAGGCTCGCAGGGTCCCATGGAGGATATGTAACATGTGGTCTTCTGGGCCCCAGGCTGGACCAGCGCAGCATCTGAGAGCTCAGAGTTGCGAGAATGTCTTGTGCGAAACAGGCCGGACCACCTTGCGCACGGCATCTCAGAGCTCAGAGTTGCAAGGATGTCTCAGGCGAGACGGGCCTGACCACCTCGCGCAGGGCATCTCAGAGCTCAGAAGTTCGAGGATGTCTCAGGCGAAACGGGCCGGACCACCTCTCGCGCGGCATCTCCGAAGTCAGAGTTTCGAGGATGTCTCAGGCGAAACGGGCCAGACCACCTCGCGCAAGGCATCGCAGAGCTCAGAGTTTCGAGGATGTCTCAGGCGAAACGGCCCGGACCATCTCTCGCACGGCACCTCGGGGCTCAGAGTTTGGAGGATGTCTCAAGCGAAACGGCCCGGACCACCTCTCGCGCGGCGTCCCGGAGCGCAACGTTTCGAGGATGTCTCAGGCGAAACGGCCAATCCCGGCCAATTCAGAAACGAGAGTTGTGAGGATGTCTCAAGCGAAACGGCCAAAACCATAAAATTTGTGTGAGGATGTCTCTGCTCCGCGTTCCCTCGGCCGGAGTTAGTTTCTACCACAACAGCACCCCGTTCAGCAAGCTGTTTGGGGAATCACACGGACACAATGAATCGTCGATTCCCCAGAAAATATGAGGAAAATATGGGAAGTGGGGGGGATGACAGAAGTCCCAAAAATATGGAAAAATATTGGCAATGCTTTTATTTGTGTCTATTTATGTGTGTGTCCCAGGGCCCCTTCAAAGATGTGCGGCACTGAATCATCGGATTGCATGCGCATATCTTCAGGAGCATACCTCCAGACATACACACATACAACGATGCCAATATAGCATGTGGTCTCGTAGATGTACACATGTATCTATATATATATGTATGTATGTATACATAGATTTGCGTATGCATAAACACACACGGACATCATCAGCATCATCATCATCATCATCATCATCATCATCATCATCAAATTCCCTCTGCCTCCTCATTGCTCCTCCTTTCCTTGTTTGCGCGCCCGCGGACCCAACGATTCTTCGATTGTGCTCAAGCGCAGGCCTGCCCTTGCGGACAGGGATACCACCCTCCTTATCCTCCTTGTCCTCAGGCGGGCCGCCCGGCAGTGGGGTCACGACCTCCAGGTCTCCCCCCTTGGACCCTCCCCGGGACTCCTTTTGCTGGACCCCCTCCCGCCCCAGGACCTCCCAGGGGACCTCCCCCTTGGATTCCCCCCCCTGGAAGGGCAGGGACAAAGGGAAGGAGCGTCCCTGCAACGTAATTACGACATTGTTCGATCCCCCTTGTTTGTTCGGTCTCCCTTACGACGACGACGACGACGACGATTCAAAGGAGGCTGGCGTGGTTCAGGTTGGGCTGGGGTGGCCTCGCATCGAAGGGCTTCTCACACACGCCGACTGGGCCGGCGGATTTCGCATCGTTTTGTTGACTGGGATGTTGAGCCTGCGCGCAGCAGGCAATATGGACCCCCCCCGTCGATCCCTTCTGATAGAAAATGTGATCGCTTGGTGCCCGCGCATGATCGACACTTCGCCGCAAAATTCACTTTGAATTGTTTTTGTGGCAGGGATAGCAGGTGGTGGAAGGGGGAGGAACAGTGATAACCCCTCCCCGAAGTTGAAGGAGGGGAGGATGGAAGAGGAAATGTGCTGAACCACCTTCGCCCAGAGGACTGGTGGCATTTTTGCCACTGGACCCTTCGCACCGAGGCTGCAGCGCCTGCGCAAGAGGGTGCTCGATGTCGACGAACCCACGTCGAAGTTTTTAAATGTGCCCTTGCTCGCGCCGCAGGATGACTTGAGGCTGACGCTATTCCGCGATTCCCCGCACGCCGTTACGCAACTACTCGTACGTCTGCAGGCCCTGCGCAGGTACACTTAAAGTTGTGACTTGTCTGAGCTCGGCCAGACCAGGTGGAGAGCACTCTCGGGGAGCAGCGCGCCATGGACGACCACACCTGGCTGTGGCGTGGCCACAGGAGGGCCCCTTCGTGGTCTGCACATCAGTGAAGCGGCGCACGCACGCCCCCGAAGACTCGGGTGGAAGCGAGGGGGCGCAGGCAATGGAGGATGACGATTAATAAATGACCGGGGGTCGTGTTCACGCGGCGGCGCCCGGGATGACGATTAGAAAACACCGGCCGCGGGCTGGAAAACTATTTGTTTGATCGTTCTCCTCCAGTCAGAAACTTGTGCAGAAATAGCAGAAAACTTGTTTTAAATCGTTCTCTCCCCTTTTTTTGCCCCAGTGCGGGGTGCGCCTGTCCCAGTGTGGTCGCACTGGGCAGCCTGGTCAGGGGTGACCCCTGGGCTACCAGGTGGCGCGGTAGGCGCGTTCCCTTCGTTGCATCACGCCTACCAGTGGTAAGTGTGGTGGCGCCAGGTCCTCGTCTGATGCTCCTCCTGAGTCCTGGTGCATGCGTCTTCCTGCCCCTGGGATCGGTCGGTGTGCCTGGTAACTTGTGTTAATCATCATCCCGCACCAACTCCAGGAGCGGGCCGCGGCGGGAGTGCAGGCCGCGGGAGCGAATCGCCAGGGGCTGCCGCGGTGAGGCGGCTCGCGGAGCGGGTCTCGCGGCGGGCGGGTCGCGGGGCGCGGCGGGCGCGGGTCGCGGCGGGCGCAGATCGGGGGCGGACAGACCCCCCAACAGCGACACGTCGACTACTCCAGATTTCGTAGTAAAGGGAGGGGGGTCTCATTTCGGGGGGGGGGTCTCTTCCAGGCTATCTTGGAGGGCCTGGGGGGGGGCTGGGGACGATGTTTTGGAGGGTTCTCCCACGGGGGAGGTCTGAAATGGCTTGTCTTGGAGGGTCCAGACCCCCTCCCTTTTATTACGAAATCTGGAGTAGTGAATTGTCCGTGTTCGGTTCTCGAGAGGGCGCCGTGGCCGCTATGTTCCAGGCTTGCGCCCGCCAGGTTTGGCCCTCGGGTCGTGTTCACTGAGCCACGTTTTACTAGAAGGGGGGTCTGTCCATCCCCGAGCAGATGGCGGGCGGGCAACGGGCAGGCGACTCGCAGGCAGGTCCCAGGCACAGGTCGCCGACGGGTCGCGGAGCGTGTCGCGGGGCGGCGACGACGACAAGAGCGACAGTCTGGCCCCGGCGACCCCTGTTCAGGCACGCACGCAAGAAGCGTGTCAGAACCTTGGGTTCCTTCATTACGACTAGGGTTGTCTGTTGGCAGTGCATGTCGCAAGCTAGGGTTCAATGGTTCGCTGCGTGGACTGATCAAAATATTTCAAGGCGATATTGTACTGGTCGTCTTCCATTGGAGCTGTGCATCCCCGTCGCAGGGTCAGAAGTGCCACGACAGATTGCGCAAGCAACCCCATTTGATGTACAATCGGCCACCCTACGTGGTCCAGCCGATTCCGCAGTTCCGGTAAGGAGACGTCGCCGCCAAAGGCGATTTGTTTGATCATCATTTCAAGGCGTCATGCTTACGATCTGCCATCTGAGGTAGACGTGAACAGGGTGTGCAGTAGATTTTGAGCTGTGGCAATATCTCAACTCGAGCGTTTCTTCATGACGGTCCTGTGCTTCCATGACTCCGTCTCCCTTCAGCGCTCTCATTTCTCGGCGAATGCGATCTCGCCATACGCGAATCTATCTTATGACGCCGGTAGGCCAGGCCAGTGCGAATAGCACTACAATGTTGTTGCGCTCACACGAAAAAAGCACCAAGGATTGTCATGTGTACCAGTGGCTTCCCTCTGTTACTAACTCAGGTAAGTCGCTACAGGGTCCGAGGGCTTGCTGAGGGATTTCAAGCATGTCCCAGCGCCAGCTGAAAGGGTGAATGAACGACACATCGCCGAAGAGCGGCAGGTACGAGACGTACGATTCACCACCATTGTTTTGCAAAATCGAAGGCGTCGAGCCTTGTCGTGTGATATTGGGGAACGGGGGTCGAAAACATCACGTCGCGATCAGCAAACAGGAACCATGAGCCCATTTCCAGGGCCGTAAACACGCTAGTTCGGAAAGGGGACATGTTGGGCGGAGGACACGCTCAGCAGCATTACCAGGCGTTGGGCTGCAGCTGGGGATTATTCTGGCCCCCGACGCCTTACCAACTTTCTGGGCACCTGCGGCAAATTCCGCCGTCGTGCCAGCGCAGCAAACTGTGCGGCGACCAGGTGAGAAACGCTCAGACGGCCCTGACTGGTGATGGGTCACGCCCCTCGGCCCCAGAGGGTTGTAACATGTGGCACGGTTTGTGCTCAGGCCAGGGGGGCCGTGAAATGCGGCACATCTTTTTGTCCTCCTTCCAGCACCCCAGGGGCCGAGCATCAAACAGCTCGCTTCCCCAGCGGAGGGAAGGCCGTAATTGATTTGCCGTTTGCACAGAAGGCCGTGACATGTGACATCCGGGGGGGGCCTTCCAGGGGTTTGCTGGTTGGCTCCCTGAGATGTCATTCGGAACGCTCCAGAAAGGATTTCGTGTTCGAGGATCGGAGGAGTTGGCATGTCCTCCTCTGCGGAGGCTGGCGGTGGGCCAGCGGAAGGCGGCGGAGGTAAACTAGGAGTCCCCACGGGATGTGAACAGTTCTTGGTCCAGGGCTTCCGGAGTCTGGCGAGCGGTATTCGGGCCATCTTGTAGGATTCTGTGGCCCTCTGACGGGGTCTCCGAACAGGTGTGTTGCGGAGGGTCCCGAAGCCGCCTATCGGTCGTCTCTTGTGGCCGTTTGCGGCGATTCCTGTAATAGTTTGGAGATGTCTCGCAGCGGTTTGGGGGGGGTTCTCTTTGCGCTGTCTCGGGGCCATCTTGGGCCTCGTTGAGGCTGGTGGGGGGGAGTATTGGGGTTCTTGAGACGTTTTGTGGCGTAGAAGGGCGATGAACGGCGAGAGGACAAACACATCGAAAACACCACTGTTTTCCAATACGGTTGGCCTCACAAAGACCTCCAGGCGAACCTCGGAGAGATCTCTCGGGAGCCTTCAGAGGGCTCTTCGGGTTATCTTCATCCTGGACATGCCTTGGCAACCTTTCGGCTATTTCGGCTGTCTGGGCGGGGGGTCTGCCAAGGAATGGGCCGGTTGAGGACCCGCGGGGTAGAGGACGTGGATGAGAAAGTCGCAGGGACCTGGATACATAGCATACTTTTGGCAACACACCTTTCCATACGTTCCAGCCTGCATGATCAACCTACACCCGCAAACACAAATTTTCCTCGTGGGCCCAGAACAGAGAGCTTGAAGTGTAGCCACGACTTGTACTGGTGGAGTTGCAGCTGGTATGTTTCGAGGGTGCGCGGACCCGATGTCGGTTATGATTGCAGTTGCACTTGCGATGGATCTGATTCCGGCCGTGTTGATATGATTCCGATGTGTTTGTTGACGTGATTCCCGTTTCTATGTTCGCACGAATTTGATTGATGCCCCGCTTGAGTTGTACATTGCCAAATGGGCGCGGGGGACCAGCAAGGGCAGTGACCGGACGGGAGGCGAAGCGTGTTCACGCCTCGCACTCCTGATTTCAAGGATGTCCATCACCTCCACAGCGAAGGTTTGCGTGCAAGGGCAGCAGTTGGCAGCAGACGTGTGCTGCAAATGGGCCAAGGGGTACAACGCTGACGGTGGAGCCCACGGATGCCTCATGCTTGTTGAAGGGAAGGCACGGGCAACCGCAGGAGTGGCTGTGCAGGCGCAGACGCGGCCCCTGCCGACAGCGCAGAGCTGCTGCAGGAGGAGGAGGAGGAGGGGGAGGAGGAGGAGGAGGAGGAGGAGGAGGAGGAGGAGGAGGAGGAGAGGGAGGAGGAGGAGGAGGAGAGGGAGGAGGAGGAGGAGGAGGAGGAGGAGGAGGAGGAGGAGGAGGAGAACCGGTGCCACCAGAGGCAGAGCCTCGCACGGGTCGAAGCGTGTGTCTGGGGTGGGATGCCGCCCTGCGGCAGCCGGCGCGCACGTCGCGAGCTCGATGCGCGGGCTCGCTTTCGACCAGGAGATTGACGAGAAGAGGGTGGCGACAATGACGACAGCGGCGACGACGACAGCGATAATGGCGAGGAACTGGAGGAGGAAGGAGGCGGAGAGGAGAGTTGGAAGGGCAGGGTCAGCATGTGGCGAGGCAGGAGGCAGGGCTTGGGAGAGGGAGGCGAAAAGTGTCGCGTCCGCCCCTGGGGTCCCCGGAGGCCTCTGGAGGCCCCCGAAGGCCCGAAAATGGGCCGAGAGCGTCCCACGACCGTTTGGGAACGCCCAAGCACTGTCCTCCTGTCTGCTGGCGGAAACGCGTCCTGAGGGAAACGGGTCCCATCGCCCTCGTCGCCCCACAGCCTCGCCTCCGCCTCCCGCTTGGTGCGCGAGAAAGGGGGGATCAGAGAGCCCAACCCACCCAAGCTCCGCAGGGTCAAGGAGGTATAGAGAGTCTCTACCTCGAGGCGAGGAGAATCTCATTGTCGATACCCGAGACGAAAGAGCAGCGGATGAGGAGGGGAAGGGAAAGGAAGGGTAACTATGGTAGGTTCGTGTCATGCGGACGCGGCTGCGACCCGGCGCAGGCGTTCAAGGTCGAATGCCGCTGGTGGCTCGGAACCGGCCAACACGTACGACCTGGTCATCGAAGAGCCGCCGATCTGCCAGTGATCGGAGGATGCACGCGGTGTCAGAAACCAGCGCTGGAGCCGTCAAGACACGAACCTTCCGTAAACAAGCACACACAAACACACGCGCGCACACACGCACACACGCACACGCACACACGCACACATGCACACACACACACACACGCACACACACACACACACACACGCACACACACACACACACACACACACACACACACACACACACGCACACGCACACGCACACGCACACGCACACGCACACGCACACGAACACGCCCTCGCCCACGCCCACGCCCACGCCCACGCACACGCTCACGCACACGCACTCGCACACGCACACGCACACGCACACGCACACGCACACGCACACGCACACGCACGCACGCACGCACACCTGGCGCCGGGGTCCTCGCGCCGCCAGAGATCGCCGCCACGGCATCTGCCTCGGACCGCGCAGCCGGCCCTCCGTGCGCCGACGTCCCCGCGCCCGGTCGCCGCCCCGCCGCAGGCTGCAGCAGCAGCAGGCCCGCAGCGCCTGGCCACCTGGCCCGCGCGCGAGGGCCCCCCCTCGGGCGGCCGCGGGGGCCCCTCGGGGCCGCGGCGCGGCTCCGTGGGCTCAGGCCGCTCTCCGATCGAACGCCTCGGGGCGGCCGGCGCCTCCAGGCAAGCAGTGGCGAAGCGCCCCGGCTCGCCCTACAGGCTCACCAAGGAATGTTTCGGGGGCGGCAAAGAGGGTGGTGGTTACCAGGGAATGGTCTGAGAGCATTCCGTGGCGTTCTCAGAGCATGTCTTCGGGAGCGGCAAAGAGGGGGGTGATGACTAGGGGGGGGGGATACCGTGGCGTGGGCCATGATATCTCCCCAGGTTTCCCGGCGCCTCTTCTTCTTTCCTTACGTCCCTGGCCCCCCCGCTGGGCCGCGCACATGCCGCCGGTCATGATTTGCACCCCCCCCTCTTGGACACCCCCCTCTTGGCCGCGATCCCCGATAAACCAGGACACGGAAAACCAAGGCGGCATCCTTTCCTGCACGGTCACGTGTTTCAGCACCCTTGCATGTTTCGTTTGCTGCGCTGTAGGATTCGGGTGTGTGTCCAGGTTCAGGGGGGTCTTGCAGGCTTTTGAGGCCTGTGTGTGGGTTTATGAATCGCTTCGCTCATTCCGCCGGCCCATACAGTCTCATGTCTGCCGTTTGCCCGAGGGCCTGGTGTCAATGCGGCGCTTTGGGGGTTCCTGGGGCCGCTTGGGGGACTCCTGGGGCGCTCGGGGGGGCATTTGGGGGGCCTCCTGGGGCCGCTTGGGGGACTCTTGGGGGCCTCCTGAGGGCCTCGTGGGGGCCTCTTGGGGCCTCTTAGGGGCCTCGTAGGGGCTTCTTAGGGCCGAGGGCTCGAAATGTTGTTTCGTGTTCCCTCTCTGGGGCCCCTTTGGGGGCGTTCTTGGGGCCCTCTTGGACCGTCTTGGAGGCTTCTTGGGCCGTCTTCGAGCCCTCTTGGGCCATCTTGGGGCCCTCTTGGGGGCCTCTTGGGCCCTCTTGGGGCGATCTTGGGGGCCTCTTGGGCCGTCTTGGGGCGTCGGGAAGCCGAAAAGGTGGAAGCTCCAAAATCTCTCAAAAACCTAAGGAAAAACAATGAATTTTGCCTCCGGGGGCCCTCTTGGGAGTGCTCTTGGAGGCCTCTTGGGGCGTCTGGGGGCTATCTTGGGCGTCTTGGAGCGATCTTGTGGCATGTCGGACCCCTCGTGTACCATCTTGGGGGCCTCTTGGGGGCCTCTTGGCCTTTCTTGGGGCTCTCGGGGACGTCTCGGAGCCCTGTTGGTGCGCTCATGGAGCGCTCCTGGAGCGCTCTGGGGGAGTCTCCCGGGGATCGGTCGGGGATCGCCCGGGGTACTTTTCGTCCGGGGACCCCCAGGGGCCGCCCCGCGCGCGCGAACTAGAGAATTGTTAACCAGTTACCGGAGATCTTAGCACGCCTCTGGCCCGTTGGGCCGGCGAATTCTGGAAGTGCTGCAGTGCAGTATTTTGTTCGTGCCGCCGTTTCGAAGAATTGGTTTCGAGGGATGTTGGGTGTCCGGGTCTAGCGTGTCCGGGTCTGCGGGGCCCTGACCCCCCCGCCGGT